TTTATTTTATTGTATTTTATTTTATTTTATCTTAATTTTTCAGACACAAGGTCTTGCTCTGTCACCCAGGTTGGAGTGCAATGGTTCAATCATAGCTCACTGTAACCTTGAACTCCTGGGCTCAAAGGAACCAATCCTCCTGCCTGAGCCTCCCAAGTAGCTAGGACTACAGGCATGTGCCACACTGTCTGGCTAATTTTCTTTTATTATTATTTTTTGTAGAGACAGGTTCTGGCTATGTTTCCCAGGCTGGTCTCAAACTCCTGGCCCCAAGTGCTCCTACTGCTTCAGCCTTCCAAAGTGCTGGGATTGTAGGCATAAGCTGCCACAACTGGACCTTCCCTTAGTATTTTAATACAACAGATAAACTTATATCAGATTATGTTGGTTGAGATATGGAGTACCATAAGCCACTGTAAGAAAACTAAGACTTCCCTCCGCCCAAGAACCAAAACACAAATCTCAGTCCACTCTGCCCATAGAAATAGTCCATAAATGTTTCATTGATTGACCATGTTGTGGAATAAAAAGATAATATACTGTATAACATAATGTAATGTAATTTAATGTAATATGCATTTTATAAACAAAAATATAAATGTTGGTAGTTATTGAAAACCTAAATCTAAATATATTTTATAATTGAAAGAAAAGTTCTTAAAATATTTGAGAAACAAAATTTGTATGGACATATAGGTACTAGAATTATGATCATATATTTGAAATGTTTTCCCACAGGTAGACTGTTTGTCCACGAGTGGACTCATCTCCGATGGGGAGTATTTGATGAGTACAATGAAGATCAGCCTTTCTACAGCTCTACGTCGAAAAAAATCGAAGCAACAAGGCATGGATATTTAAATTTTCTTAAATGACTTTAGGCTTTTAACTGTTCTTATTTTCCTTACTTTGATTTCTTTCAAATAACAATCATTCATTTTTGTCCCAACACAGACAATAGATGCTATGTCATAAAATGATGCTTTTATTTTTTTTAGAAAATCTATCTTAGAGTAGTTGGTTGTCTACTTAAAATACACATAATTTCAATGGTAAGCACTTCGTTGGCAATTTGACATATTTTATTCCTTTCCGCCATACCTGTTAGAATCCGCCTGCACTGAAGCCTACTATGTGCTGGCAACAGGTCAGAGTTATTCTCATTACACAAGGATGAACAAAAGTGGTGCTAAATGTGGACTGAGTAAGAAATAAAGCAGCTTCAAGGAGCCAAAGAGTTACTTCTTGGAGATTTATAAAGGTCATTTTAAAATACCAGTGTAGCATCACAGTTAGTAATAGACTATCCTTTTGGTTCTGAAATCAAGAGAGAGAAATGGTTAGTGAGAATCAGTTGAAAATTGGGTGCCATCAGCCTCATCAATGTTAGATGTCCTACTGGGGCTAGGGACTTGTCACTCATGTGCAAACTGAAAGGTACTTACTTGATTTCAATCAAGGTCCTTACTCTGCTCCATCACACCGATTTTCAGGCACGTATTTTAAAGAGTATTACATTTATTGTGTTTGTTTATGTCATATTCTCCCTAAATGTCTAATTTCTGCTGCAGAATATTCATCCTGATTATTCATATAAATAGCTTCATTATGTTTACCTAGTTTTGGGGCAATAAAAGCATGGACATATTTAGAAGACTCCCTAAATAACTGAATAAAACCTATTCATCACTTCCTGAATTTGAACTGAAAGCCTATTGAAAAGATAAGATATATTCACATCCCAGAATATTTGTTGTAATCACTACCACCTGTGACCAATTTCATGCAATAAAACATATGTCTAGTCAGGTGGGTGGCTCACGCCTGTAATCCTAGCACTCTGGGAGGCCGAGGTGGGAGGATTGCTTGAGGTTAGGAGTTTGAAACCAGCCTGGGCAAGAGTAAGACCCTGTCTCTACTAAAAATAGAAAAAAATTAGCTGGGTGTGGTGGTGCGTGCCTGCAGTCCCAGCTGCACAGGAAGCTGAGGCAGGAAGATCATTTGAGCTCAGGAGTTTGAGGTTGCTGTGAGCTAGGATGACACCACAGCACTCTAGCCCAGGCAACAAAGCAAGACTCGGTCTAAAAAAAAAAAAAAACACACACACACAAACAAACAAAAAAACATATGTCTAAAATGCCTCCATCATTCTTTTTTTTTTTTATTCCAAGGTATTGTGAGGGTACAAACATTATGGTTATACTTTATGTCTTCGCCTCACCCAAGTGCAGGTTAAAGGCATGCCCTTCCCCCCTTACAGTGCTCCCTGTGTCCTTTAGTTGTGGATTTACCCCCCCATCCCCCTAATTCCATCATTCTTTGTTCTACGGTCCTTCTTGATAGCACCTCATCTTTGCTTCCAATCATATTTCCCTCTGGATAAAAATTCTCCTTGAATAATCAAAACACTTGTAGCTATGCCACATCCCATTCTATTGTGGATATCATCTTTGAAAAGAAATCTACAAAGAACCTCAAGCCAAAGTCGAATACAGAGTAAATGGGTTCACAGGTTCCTTCATCCAGGTGCCTGCAGCACATTTACCACCACAAGACCAGCAGGAGAGATGTCTAAGCAACAGACCAGCAGCTTTAATCCCAGCAAAGAACTCGACTATTGTGAATATCTGGAGGTCCCACTTAAAATTTCCCTCTAGAATTTCTTTTAAAATAGATAATTACTTTGATTGGGACTCTTAAACTTTGTTGTCAGAATAGGAAGTTCATGGTTCTCATAGAAAAATAAATACCTTGATTTAAAGATCATCGTAAATAAAATCACTTAAGATTTTTTTAAAGTGTTAATGATTAAGTTGCCACAAAGATTAACTGTCATATATTTTCAGGTGTACCTCAGGTATCTCTGGTACAAATAGTGTTTATACGTGTCAAGGAGGCAGCTGCTACACTAGAACGTGCAGAACTAATTCTACAACAAAACTGTATGAAAAAGATTGTCAATTCTTCCCTAATAAAGTTCAAACAGAAAAGGCATCTATAATGTTTATGCAAAGTATTGATTCCGTAAGTATACCAATTATTGCTTCCAGAATTCATAATCAAAAGACATCGTGTTTTCAAAATATCTGTCCAGGTAACCTGACATATATATTGATATATGGTTCTTTGAACATTGGCCAACACATAGTAACTAGTGAAGTAGTGTTACCTATTATTATTACTATTGTTATCACTATGGTAAATCTACCTTACTCTAATATTGATTCTCAGTGAATCATATTTCATTTCATATTTCATTTCATATTTCATTCAATAAACAATATATTTGCAGAACATATTTTAGATTTTTTCAGGTGTGTAGTTAGATGTTTAAATGCATGGTATATTAAAATTATTTTTTCATTTTATTAACCTTTTAGGTCTCTGAATTCTGTAATGAGAAAAACCATAACCAAGAAGCTCCAAGCCTACAGAACATAAAGTGCAATTTCAGAAGTATATGGGAAGTGATCAGCAATTCTGAGGATTTTAAAAACACCACACCTTTGGTGGCACCACCCTCTCCACCTGCCTTCTCATTGCTGCAGATCAGTCAAAGAACTGTGTGCTTAGTTCTTGATAAGTCTGGAAGCATGGGAGTAAGTTCATCTTTTCTGAATATAAGGACAGGGGATTGATTGAAGGCCTAAGAACACACTGAACACTATCTGGACCTGGATTACTCTAAATTGCATGGTGACATAAAAAGTACCATTACTGCCTTTGGTCATGACTTCAAGATATTACAGCAAAATGTTGTAGTAAAAGAAACATGCCAATATAATTAAAAAGACCTAACCCAAGGGTCTTTGTTTTTTCCAGAAAATGGATGGTTTACTGAGGGGAGTCTTGAGGCCCTTTAGTAAAACTGTATTTGGAAGGTCAGAACTAGAGATTGAAACACAAAAAATGATTTCTAACCACGTCCCTTTTATTTGCTGAAAATGTTTGAGAGATATGAGGATAGAATGGATTGGGGGGATACTGAACTTTGTTCCAGGTCCAGGAACACAAGAATTAACCATATTTGCAATACCTATACAAATGATCTCTTTATGCTCAAAGACACAAACAAAAGGCATCACCATAAAGAAAATATGGCTCTATCCGGCCATTAATTCCTTCTAGTATCATTCAGTGAATGGGAGATATTGTGACTCTAGAAATACAGGTCCATATCCTTGAGGAGTTCATAGTTAACTGGAAAAAAACTTTCCCTTTTCCCATCACCTGTTTAAATCATACTCATCCTTCAATTTGAGATGAGCATCCACTTCCTCCAGGATATGGAGTGGGCTTCTAGGCTGGCCAAGACCCTTCCACTGATTCCCAACAACGCCCTGTGCATACCTCTATCAATGTATAGGATATTCATATTACACATTTCTCTCCCAGTAGACTGGGAGATTTTTCAGGATGTGGAACCAGGTCTCACTCTTCTTTGTAACCCCATTGCCTAGAACAGAGTTCATCATATAGAAGTAATCAATAAATAATTTTTGAAAGGAATGGACTACAAACAAGCAACATGATAAGGAACCAGAGAGATGGCGCATTTGAGGCAGAACAAAGCATGCTGAAAAACAGGACTAAGGTCTTCAGCAAATGGTGGGGGAGTGGATATTAAAAAGGGCAGAGAATGATAGAGCTGAATGAAATGAGCCCAATAATACAGGATTTCAGAGAGGGCAACAAAGTGCTAGACACCAGTACAGACAAGTGGTCTGAGAAGTGTCGCTGGGGAGAGATGAGGTGCTTGAATGGGAGAAGATGAGCATCCTCCCCTAGACACTGTGCAGGTAGATCCAGGTTTAAAGGTAAAGCAAGGTAGCGGAGAGAGCCCTAGAAGATGTGGATGTAGGAGAAGTTTCTCATTATGACTTGATTCAGGGAGTTCAAAAGGAAATCTGGGCATAAGTTAGGGGTAAGTATCACAGATCAGGGTGGTGATAAGGACTGGAGTAAACAAATGCATGAAGAGGCTTACATCCTAGACAATCACCTAGGAAAGATGAATGTGAGTGCTGATGTGTTACCGAAGAGCCAATTCTAATTAACCTGTTGGTGGAGAAGGGATGGGGAGAGGTTAGGAACAGAAAAGGAAAGTTGGGAGACAGGGACTGGGCCTCTCAGAATTTAGATGACGCTTGGGTCAGTTTTACCTTTTGGACAGTCTAGTCCCCAGTGGATGGAGTGGTTCCAGTCTCTGCTTGGAGTCTGCGATAGTCTGGTTTACTTTGTAGGCTCTGAAGTGCAGTTTCATCTGAAGACAACAGGCACAGCAGCTCCCAGGAGTAATTAGAGATTCTCTAAGATGGGAATCATTAACCCCAATTGCAACTCAATCCCCTCAACCCTGCAACCTTCCACCTCTATTTGGGCATTTAGCAGCCAAGAATCAGCTCTAGTTAAAAGCCTATATAGTTTATGTGTCCCATAATACATATAACTATGTTTTTTAATTTTATCTATTGAAAAAATGGTCATTGCTTTCTCTAATATCAATTACTGTTCACAGAAAATTCTTACCTATAAGTTCTATTCATTCATTTTATGTGATCTGCTATTATCTTCCAGTTGAAAACCACTTGGTTGTTTTTCTTGTTCTTTGTTATTCAGAATTATGACCGGCTCAATCGAATGAATCAAGCAGCAAAATATTTCCTGCTGCAGGTTATTGAAAATGAATCCTGGGTGGGGATGGTTCACTTTAGTAGTACTGCCAGTGTTGAAAGTCAGCTGATCCAAATAACAAACAGCAGCCAAAGAAACAAGCTCGTGGAGAGTTTACCTACAGCATCTGGGGGAGGAACTTCCATCTGCTCTGGAATTACAAAGGCATTTGAGGTGAAAATCATGTGGCAAATATATGTTGTTCTTTTTTTATTTTCAGTACATTTTCATGTTAAGTGGTGTTTCACACACTTGATGCCTAATTTTAACATAATTAATCCTAAGAAGCAAAAAACTAAGCACAGAGAAAAACTTCACTTGATGATTTTTTTAATGGATCAGTGAATCAATGAATAAACTGTGGGTGAATAAGTGGCTATAAAAGTACCACTAGTTTACAAGCCCAGTGAGGCCAGGGACTTTTCTGTCTTGTTACCATGCAATAGTTGGTGCTAAATTAATATTAGTTAAGTAAGTTTGCTTGGATGCAAAAGCTATCGATTTGGGGAGCAATGAAGCAATTTATATGGTATGATTCCACTTTGGGCCATTTCTTATTTGAGTTTCTGTAACATTCATTTAGGGCCAACTGATGTTTATCTACTAAAGCAGATGTAGCAGGGACTGTGAGTTATATTTAGAGTTAGCCATATGAGTTAGAGCTGAACTTTGACATCAGAGCACTGGATGTGCTACTTACTAGCTATGTAATCTTAGGCTAACATTTCAGTCTCTGGACTCCCAGTGCCTTATCTATAAAGTATAGGAAAGTATAGGAAATAGGAATGCCTAACTCAGAATTATTGTGAGAATTAAGTAAAATAATACATTTACATACTTAAAACAGTATTTATACTACATACTAAATATATAATTCACAATAACTGTTATTATGAATCTTATTTTTATCTAAATGGTCCTCTTTTCAGTTATGTCATTGTCCTGGTGAGAAATCTTTGCTGTCTCTTCACAGTCTGTAAAATTAAGTTTGAATTCCTCAGTCTGATATTATTCAAAGTCTCTCCCTGCACCATCCCCTGCCCAAAAAAATTGGTTTCACTTTCACTTGTTTTTCCTGCCTTATTTCTCAGTTCTCCCTCCCCAATGCTCTATCCCCCAACCAATTTACTGCACACATTGTTCTCCAAGCCCACTTAACAGTCTCCATATCTTTGTACATGCAATTCCTCTGCCTAAAATGCTTCCTTTTTTCCCATCTTTACATGTTAAAATTCTACTAATCCTTCAAAATCCTTTCTCCTTCTATAGCTTTCCTTCTACTTCCAACCCTTTTGAATCTCTCTCTTTTATTAATTGTATGACATTTCAGTGTAGGTTTGTATTAAAAACATGAAGGCCTACACTCAAATCACAATTGTCACATATTAGCTTTGTGACCCTAAGCATGAAACTCAACCTCTCTAATCCTCAATTACCTCGACAGTAAAATGGTATAATAAAAGTTAACACATAGGGTTGCTCATGTTTTAATTTATTCAACATATATTTATTGAGTGCTAGTTACGTGCCAAGCAAAGCTGGTTCACTCTCGTGGTGCATCCTACATAGTGCAGAACAGATAATAAATAGATAAATAAAAACAATCATTGCAGATTGTGAAGAAGCCAAACAGAGTGAAATAATAGAGTAACTGGGAAAGGAGGGGAACTACTTTGGGTAGAGAGGCCATAGCAGCCTTCTCTAAAAGGTGACATTTATGCTAAGATTTGAAGACAGAGCCAGTGGTTCAGGCAGAAAGGAAAGTGCAAAGCTCCTTGGGATAGAGGTAGGAAAGAACTGCATTACCCTAAGGAATGATAGATGTTAGTGGCACTGGAGTTTGGCAAAAGAGTGAGTATGAAAGGTGGTTGGAGAGGTAGACGATGGCTAGATATTTCAAGTTTCAAAAAATATAAGATATTTTGTTTTAAGCACAACAGAAAGCTACTTAAGGATTTAAAGCATCAGAGTGTGATAATCAATTTATGTTGTAGAAAGATGACTCCAGTTGCTCTGTATGAAATAAATTGTAGGGAATAAGAGTGGCAATAAGGAGACAGTTTGGGAGCTTGGACTTGGATTAAATTACATGATGTATAAAACACAATTAACACATAGCAAATGTTCAGTAAATGGTAGCACCACAATATTTCCCATATGTTACGATATATATAATAGTCATTATTCGCCTCAAAACATGCAAAAATTATAATGGCAATGGTAAATTTGTTCTCTGATACCAGCTTTGTTAGCTATTTCTACATTCCAAACCCTCTTCTGCAAACCTACATATACCCCCACTCTGTGCCCAAGAAAGCCACTGATAATCTAGCATTTTTTGCCTCTTGGCTTATACTCAGTTTCTCAAACTGGTGCTCGAAGAAGCCAATTAAAGTTGTCAGAGAAAATGAAATATGGTTGTTATCTTGGGCTAAGTTCTCTTTATCTTCTCTTGCAGACGCCTAGATTCAGAACTTTGAGTTTCAAACCAGCTTTACAGGAAAAGGATTCAAGCTACAAATTGAACTCAATAAATATAATTCATGTATTTTTTGAGCACCACTAATATGCTTAGTTCTATGCTATGTTCTGTTAGAAGAAAACCAGAAGTTACATAACAAGGTCTTTAACCTCGATGTGCTTAGAACTGTCCATATCTTTTATTTATAAGCGTTCTGAGGGTTTCCTAATTTGTAATCAGTGACATTTTTTTTATGATGAAGTAGATTCTTAATGCATTTAGCTGTATGTTTAACAGATTTTATACACTGAAGGCTTGTCATAGGATAGTCCAATCTAGAAAAAAGAAAAATATTTAATACCACATACCACAATTATATTTCTGGTATGTGATTGACCTGAGTTTCCCACGTTAAGATATCACTGTCATTTAGTCTAGGCAGGGATTTTACAAAGCCTGTTCCCACCTAATTTCATTTGGATACATATTCCCTACAGTAGGGAGTCAGAAAAAAAATTCATGTTTAACTTCCCACAGGGACTGTTGATTGAAAATTCTATGATTTTAGAGCAGGGGCTATTTCTTCTATTCTACACACTTTTGTTTATTTTCTCTGTAATTTTTTTCTAGTTTCCCATGAATCTATTTGCTCTAGGAACACCTGGTTGTAATTGTGCTCTGAATTGTGTTTGCAGGTGATTAAAAATCGATTCACCCAACTAGATGGATCTGAAATAGTGCTGCTGACTGATGGGGAGGACAGCTCTGCAGGGAGTTGTACTGACGAAGTGGGACAAAGTGGGGCCATCATTCATTTCATTGCTCTGGGGGAGTCTGCTGATACAGCAGTAATAGAAATGAGTGATATAACAGGTAAAACATGATCTATATATTCCGATCCTTTAATATCAATGCATAAATATAGAGATTGACGACTCAACAATTTCTCTTGAGCTCCTGCTCTGCAGGCACTGCGCCAAGAGTAGGGAACCAGAGTCAAACCAGATCCTATCTCTGTCCTCATGGTGCTCAGTCTAGTTGGCTGGAGAAAAAATAATAAAACTGCTAATAAAATAACATAATCAGATAACATTCCTTCATAACAGGAGAACTACAGATGAATAAAGTTCTATGTGAGCAGAGGAAGCCATTAACTTTTCCAGGGTTGTATAGAGTCAGGGAAAGAAAACATAAGAGATTAGGTGACTTCTGAGTTGGGACTTGAACAAGATGTTGAATTTCTCTGGGAAGAAAAAAGGGTGGGAAAAGATGATCAGGTCATGAGCAAAATAATCATGTTGTGATGACAATGCAAAGTACATGGAGGAAATGGTGAAAAATCCATGAGACTAGAGCACAGACTGTGGGATAGGTGTATGTGATTAACAGAAGCTCAGGCTGAAAAAAACCAAATTAACAACGAAGTGTCTAAGATAAACTTTAAATATGGTAGCTGCTTTTTAGACACACAGACATGTCATGAAAAAATGTATTACGTGTTTCCAATACCTTCTTAAACATAGTAGAGAATAGAATACATCATTTAATTTATAACATGAGTATCAATTATTGTGTTAAATTGGCTTCTAATGGTACTAAATATATACCTACTTTGTAACACTCAGTGGTACAGACTCCCATCATTTCAAAGTGCTTTCGTGGCCATTATAAAATTTATTTCTGTCCCAATAGCCCTTTAAAAGTAGTAGTTTTGGGGCTTGTTTCTATTGCTTTCCGTTTTTCTATCTGCTTATTGCCACTTTTGGTTAGGATATCTAAACAAAGCAGCTGTTCGGTCTTTCTAACTTTCTGATTTTGAACTACTCTGACTGGAAAATCTGAAAGCCAACTTTGTTAGAACCATATCTTAAATAAAAGTGAATAATTCCCTTAAAGGGCTATGTTACGTCTGTGAGCTTTAATGCATGGAATTGTTCACATCTTCTTTCATGTTCTGTGATTATAGGAAGCATTTCAGGTAGCTAAGATTTTGATACTGAGGTATCATGGTAGCTTTTGCTTCCTAGTTAGGACATTTTTAAGTTAGCATTTCAGAGTTAAACTTTACACCTATGTGATTTTGCTCTATTTTAATAACATATACCGGATCTATGATTTTGTTTGAACTATTACTTTATTAATCACTAAAATATAATAAGTACTTGTTTTCTAGAAAGTAACCTGGTTGATGCATTTACATTTTAGGAGGAAGCCATTATTATGCTTCAGATGAAGCCCAGAACAATGGCCTCATTGATGCTTTTGGGGACCTTACATCAGGAAACGCAGATCTCTTCCAGAAGTCAATTCAGGTCAGAGTTCCCACTCCTTGGGTTTTCATGTTTGCATTTGCCATAACAAAGAAAAAGAATTTGGTAGTTTTAAGTTTTGAGATCTATAAATTTCTCAAAGTAAAGTATTAATTAAAATCAAATCTTCAATCCAAAATAGAAATTACTCATTAGATATAATCAAGTTAATTGGTAAAGAAAGAGTGAAATAAATGGTAAAATAGC